TGCATGTCACTTGCTTTTAAAGAGCCAGGCTGGCTCATCTGGTACAGAGTTGAGTTTACAGCTCTGTACCCCATGCCCAGGGCAACACATGAGTTTACCATCCTCACCATGATAACAGTTCAGTGCAGTAAGCACATTCATGCAGTGGTGCAGACATCCATCTCCACAACATTCCATCTTGTATACTGTGTCCGTAAAACAACTACTTCCCATTGCCCAGCCCTGTTGCAGGTCCTGGCACTCACCTTGCCTTTCTGTGTTGTTCCTCAGGGTATGGCCATTCTGTAGTAGTTCCTCCTAGGGATGGGGTCCTGTAGCGTTTCCCTTATGTGACTGGTCAGACTCACTTATTAAGGTGTTATCAAGCCTCATCCCTATGTAGAATTTTCCTGTTTTTTATTAAATGTTCATTTACTGCTTTAAGGAAAGATTCATTTTTGTTTTATGAGTATGAGTATTTCACCTCCATGTGTGTTTGTGCACTGCATTCATGCCTCGGCCCAAAGAGGCCATGAAAGGACTTTGGGTCCCCTGGTTCTGGAGTTACAGACTGTTGTGGTCTCCAGGTGTGTGCTGGGAACTGAGTCCAGGTGTTCTGCAGGAGTGGTCAGTGAACTCACTGCTGAGCATCTTTCCAGCCCTGCTCTCTGCTTTACAAGCCATCATAGGATATGCAGGTTATGAGCAGAGATGGCTCCTGACCCTTGGGGATTGACCTTTTGAGAGAACTTTACACTGATGTTGGGGCTGGTCTCTGACCCAGACAGAGAGCCAGGACTCTGTATGCTGTCAGTCAGGAGAGCACTAAGGCAGGCTGCAGGCCCAGGTCAGCTGGTAGGCATCTACCAGGGACAAAAGTGTTCAGAATCATTTGGCTTGTGAGTTAAAGTAGTCCTTAGCTCTCCCAGCCTTAAGTGGAGGGAGGGTGTCATGATAGGGAAGTACTTCTGTGTATGTTTATCTTATTGATTGTTAAATAAAATACTGTGTGGCCAATGAAACGGCAAGTTAGGCAGGGCTATGAGTCAAAGAGGATTCTGGGAAATGTAGTAGATAAGTGATGATCCAGGCAGGAAGTGACATAGCAAGGAGACTCAGATTTAAAGAAGGAGAAACCGGAAGCATCTCTCTTTTCCCCTTCCTCCTCCAGCGGCAGGATGTGAGCTACCGGTAAGGAGGGACGCCAATAAGGTGTCCGATAACATAAGTCTTATAAAATATATAGGTTTATGATAGTTAAGACTGAGTATTTATATATTTCCCTTCTATGGTCTTTGATAGAGTTGAAGACAGATAGTTACGGTTATAGTTTTCTTCAGTTATTATAAAAGATAAGTTATCCTTTTATTTAGACAGAAAAGAGGAGATGATGGGCAATGTACTGTGTATGTTTATCTTATTGATTGTTATACAACTTTAAGGTATATGTATATGTCTCCTCTTGTTTAGGTATTGTGTTTATACAGATCTTTTACCTAAAATAGTCAGTACTTATAATTAGGTTAGTTAGGTTTTCTAGATTTACAGAGATGTATTTGAGATGGTTAGGTATTCTTCAAACCTTTCAAAGACCTACAGAAATATGGCATTTAAATGGTTTAGGGTTTATCTTGGCAATGAGATACAACTGCTCCTGGCACACCAATTACGTCAGAAAGGAGGATGGGAATCGAAGAAACCCGTTATGGAGTTTGCTTTCAACATGGCAAGGTTAGCCATTTGGGCAAGAAACTGCTCTTGCCTGGACTGTTTGTTGCTGTATAAACTGGACATACAGGACCCACAAGAAAGTGACTGCTGAACTTACAAAACAAGACAGTACTGAAGGGTTCCTATTGAAATGGAGAAGTGTGCCAGACACACTGTGGTCTATGGGCTGAAGATGGATGTCCCAACGTTACAGAGGAACTTTGGGTGACTGTCCAGGTAGCAGATGTCTCTGTCAATTCTAGAGTTTATATATTATCCTTCTGTGGTCTTTGATTAAGTTGAAGACAGATAGTTAAGGTTATAGTTTTCTTCAGTTATTATAAAAGATAAGTTATCCTTTTATTTTAGACAGAAAAGAGGAGATGATTTGGGAAGTACTTCTGTGTATGTTTCTTGTTAAATAAAATACCAATAAGGTGTCCGATAAGATAAGTTTTATATGTAGATTTATGATAATTGAGACTGAGCTAACAAATGAGAATCCTAGTCATTGGCCAAGCAGCTTTGAACCTAATACAAGTTTCTGTGTATTCATTTGGGCCTAACTCTGGCGGTCGGCTAGCATAAAGCGTACATGTGGCGGTGGGGCTCGGCGGCTTTTGGCAGAAAGATTTATCGTAACAGTGTCATGCTTTCCTGTCCCTACCTTATGTGAAGGTGTGAAGACTGTGATCTTCCTGCTTCAGCCAATTCTTGGCTCCCTGTGTCATGGATAGACACAGTGGCTTGGTTGCTACCACACGCTCTGGTCTGTTTGCCTAGTGCACAGCTGCCAGTGTCATGCATCCTAGGGACCTTCCTGTCACCTTGAGTGCCTGTGTTTTCTATTTGCAGGATGGTCTATGCCCAGCCGAAGGTGCTAACACCCAGGTGAGTAGATTTAGCCAGTGCATGTGTAGTGCAGGAGTCAAAAAGCTACTAAAGGACGATTTGCTTGCAGTGGGGAAAAGCTCAGGAGCACAGCTGAGGCCCTGGGTCAGTCTTGAGCCCTGGAAAAAACAGAACTCAGAAAAAAACAAAAGCTTGATTATGATTGTCATTGCCCTCATTCCACCAACCCTTTCAGATTTCTTTGTTTGATTCAGATCTGCAGCCCAGAAAATCTTGTTTCCCAACCCGGCTACACTCCTTGTTTCCTGTCTCTGTCATCAGGGTTTCAGAGATGTGGTGGGTGCAGTGTTTAAACTCAGCTGCTTTTAGAGCTTGGTGGAGTGGGGGGGGGCGGGGTCAGTGAGAGCTGATGCTGAGTGACTCAGGCCCCACTCGGGGAAGGTGGGCATCCCTGGAGGAAGCTGAGGGTGTGGAATCTGAGAGGGTTCCTGCAGGCCTGTTTGGTCACATGTTGCCTGTGGCTCTCTCCCCATGTAGTAGGAACGATGTTCTTGTCTTGACTCCTTGGCTGGCTCCTATCATCTGGGAAGGCACCTTCAACATCGACATTCTAAATGAGCAGTTCAGGCTTCAGAACACCACAGTTGGACTGACCGTGTTTGCTATCAAAAAGTAAGCAGAGGGTGCTGGACAGATGGCTCATGGGGAAAGCACTTTCTTTGGGGGCATGAGGACATGATTTGACCCCTAACACCCATGTGAAGCTGGGCATGGTGGCACACCTCTGCAATCCCAGCACTGTGGGTGGAGGAGAGAGACAAGTGGATCCAGGCAGCTTTCTGGACAGCTTAGCCAAACAGTGAGCTTCTCAGTCAGAGAAGGGACCCTGTCCAAAGAACAAAAAGGTGAACAACAGAAAATGACACCCAAAGTCAATTTCTGGCCTCCACAGAGACACACAGGCAAGTAAACATGAATATATACAATGGGCATGCACCCCCCTCCACATACACACAGACACAGACACACACACAGACACACACACACACACACACACACACACACACACAATGATCAGGTGGACACCAGGCAGACCAAGCTCCATTCTTGTATGTAATATGCAGTTGGGGTGCTGCTGGTTCACTCTGACAACTTCCTCAGGTCTGATGGGCTCACAGGTGAGTGAACCCCATCTCTGTCTCCTTCTAGAACTCCAGGCAGCTGCCCCTCCCTCTGTGCTCTCAGCCAGGTGACATTTGTGTCTCTCGGCACACATTTCTGGTGGGTGTCCTCATCCCCAGGGCTAGCAGCAAGTGACAGATTGCAAGCAGAGCTGTGGCCACTGATGTGTGGACCGGTCTTTCTCTTTTGGGCCTCAACCAGCTCCCAAATCATGACAACAGAGACTTACTATTAGTTTTGAATGATTGACCTTAGCTTATGTCTTATTTTAATGTGTTTCTCTTCATCTATGTTTTGCCTTGGGGCTTTTCCCTTCCTTCCTTCCTTCCTTCCTTCCTTCCTTCCTTCCTTCCTTCCTTCCTTCTTTCCTTCCTTCCTTCCCATATGTCTTACTTTCTTGTTGCCTTGTGTCTGGCTCTGGCATGTCTCTTGCTTTCTCCCCCTTTTCATGTTCTCTCCTATTTATTCTCTCTGCCCACCAGCCCTACCTATCCCTCTTTTGCCTAGCTATTGTCCATTCAGGTTTTTATTGGACGAATCAGGTGCCTCATGCAGGCAAGCTGAAACAAATGTAAGACATCTTTACATGATTTAAAAAAATGCAGCATAGACCAAGGTAATACATCTTTGCAAAGATAAAATGCTATTCCACAACAGAATTGTCCTCAGATACAGTACAGTGTGATCAACAAGGGTTGGGTCATTCCTTTAACTTTAGCCCTTGGGGTGGTGAATAGCAGACCTGTGAAACCCTGAGACTCTGGGTCGGTTTGACTTTAGGCCACATTTCAGTGTGTAAGGCTGTGGGGACTGAGAGAAGCCACTGTGCGGCCTGCATATGAGGAGTGAGGGCCTTTGTCCTTCTCTGCAGTGCTGGGTGAGATCCAAGGGAAGCTCTGAGGCTTTTGTATCAATCTGACTTGAGAGAGCTTTGGGGCTCAGCTGGGGGGATCTTGGGCACCTTGAGAATGCCGGCAGCTCCTAGGGACAAAGGACTTCACAGAAACAAGATACAAACACTACATCTTCTGGGTCTGTTGGGTACATGAGCAAAGTCCTGCCAGATGTGGGAAGGTGATTGGTGGGAAGAAGCCTCTGAGGGAACCAGCTGGGACCCCATGGTCACCTTTGCACAGGGAACACAGACACTTACCTGTTTCTGGCATTGAAGAGCAGAGGCTTGGCACCCTGGCCAGGTGATGGGGATCCCTGTTTTCAAGGTGGGAGCAGGCGGCAGTCATCCAGGGAGGATCAGTTATCTGAAGCAGGTGAAAACTTCTTGGGCTGGGAGATGACATAGGACCTGGTTTGGAAGCTGTGGTGGTTTGAAAGAAAATGGCCCCCAAAGTGAGTGGCACTATTAGCAGGTGTGGCTTCGTTGGAGTGGGCATGGCCTTGTTGGAGGAAGTGTGTCACTGTTGAGGCAGGTTTTGAAGTTTCCTATGTTCAGGATAATGCCCAGTGTCTCAGTTGACTTCCTGTTGTCTGCAAGATATAGGACTCTCAGCTCCAGTACCTTTCTGCCTAATATGTTCCCCAGCATGAAGATAATGGACTGAACCTCTGAAACTCTAAGCTGTCACCTCACTTAAATATTTACCTTTATAAGCGTTGCTGTGGTCCAAAGAGGAAAACCACAGAAACATCTGATCCGAGTAAGTGGGAGCTCACAGATTCTGGACTGACAGCTGGAGAACCTGCATAAGGCTGAAATAGCCCTCTGAATGTGGGTGACAGTTGGGGGCCTTGGGTAGTTTGTGGGGCCATTGCAGTATTTATCCCTTGTGCATGAACTGGCTTTTTGGAGCCCATTCCTTATGGAGGGATACCTTGCTCAGTCTAGATACAGGGGGTAGTGTTTGGTTCTGCCTAAGTGATGAAACAGACTTTGTTGATCCCCCATGGGAGGCCTCAGCCTCTCTGAGGATTGGATTGGTGTAGAGTGGGGAGAAAATGCAGGAACTGGGGTCAGGAAGAAGAGAGAACTGGGAGAGGTATGTAAAATAAGATTGTTAAAAAAAAAAAAAAAAGAGTTGCTGTGGTCATTGTGTGTAGGGAGACACTGTAGCCCCACCTCCTAGGAGCTAGGTACTGGTGTGCTTGAGTAGGCCTGTCAGGGCATGGTCAGGGGAGGTTCAGGATGATTTGTGGGGAGTTCTTAAGGGGGCGGCAGACATCTGGGAGTCCCTCTCTCTGTCCTCCCTAGCCTGCTGCCTCTGGGCATGCTCTGGCTTATGTTTGGCCGGTGTTTATCTGAATAAAGATATCTTAACCTCAGGGACTCTGGATCGTCTTCGCTCACGCTATAATTGTGTGTCTTTGCAGCTATAAAAACCCTAATTAAGGCAGAAGTTGGTGCCAGGGATTGGTGTATCCCTGTGATAGGTCTGAAAATGTTTTGGTTTGGATTGATATGGACTTTGGGGCTTTGGGTTAGGAGAACAGTGGAATGATTTAAGTGCTGCTTACTGAGCAATAGTGTTAGCAGCCCTGAAGACAGTGGTGCTGTATGTGACTAGATGAACTGTTGGGGCAGAGGAGATGAATACAGCATGTTGCCTGGAGGCGGGTCTTGTGATTTTGTAGGAGATTACAGTTAGAAGATTGCCTTGAGCCACAGGAGGGACTTTGGACTTTGAAAGAAGTTTGGTACTGTGATAGACTGGGTGGATTTTTGAAGTTGAACCAAATGCATTTTTGTATTATGATATGGCTACAAGAATTTTTGGGTTGGGGAGTGGATCATGGTAGTTTGAAAGAAATGGCTCCCAAAGTGAGTGGCACTATGAACAGTTTGTTAGAGTGAGACATGGCCTTGTTGGAGGAAATGTGTCACTGTGGGGGCGGGCTTTGAGGGTTCCTATGCTCAGGATACCACCCAGTGTCTCAGTTGACTTCCTGTTGCCTGCAAGATGTAGGACTCTCAGCTGTAGCACCATATCTGCCTGCACGCTGCCATCTCCCCACCGTGATGACAACGGACTGAACCTCTGAAACTGCAAGCTGCCACTCCAATTAAACGCCTTCCTGTATAAGTGTTGCTGTGGTCATGATGTCTCTTCACAACAATTAAAACACTAAGGTGGAAGTCTTTTGCCCTTGGACCAGAGGGTTTGACTCAGGCTTGACCTTCTTTCTAGGGTGCCTGTTTCCTTTTCCCTGCCTACTCTGAGTCTGACAAGTGCTCTGGTGGAGAGCATGGAGAAAGACTCTTAGGCACATGAGAGAGTTACTGAGTAGTTGTTCACAGGCACCTTCAAGCCTCTGAGGAGGGAGGTCTGGGATACAGAAAGAAAGCCCTTCCTTTCTTGAGAAAGGGTCCTGGAGAGTGACACCAAGGAGGGATGCAGGTACCAGGTCCTTAAAAATCCATCTAGTTCCTCCTCTGCTCAGGCCAATCCCAGGGTGTGGCGTGTAGACTGTCTTAGGATGGAGCTGTTATTTTTTGGGAGGGTGACAGCTGAGGGGACTGCCAAGACAAGAGATATCTGCAAAGCATCTGCCTGGATCCCCAGGTCTAGAGTCATCTCTGCTACCTGGCTGGAAGCTTCTAGGGCTCTATCTCAACATTCCTTGCTAAGATGTGGTGCTGATGTTGCATCCTTCTGTAGTACCTTCTGCAGCAAAGGAGGGTGAGGTGAGGTACAGCCTGCAGACTGGTCAGGACAGCTGTAAAGTGGATATACTGTTGCTTCAAGCCTCTGGGTAGCCATGGTTTCTCCAGGTTAGTTTCTGCCCTCATTAGTCTTGACCTAGCTGTCCATACCACTTTGCCCTCCCTCACAGGTACGTGGTGTTCCTGAAGCTGTTCCTGGAGTCAGCAGAGCAGCGCTTCATGGTGGGACACAAGGTCACCTACTATGTCTTCACTGACCGTCCAGCCGATGTGCCGCAGGTGCCGCTAGGAGCAGGCCGGAAGCTGGTGGTGCTGACTGTGCGCAACTACACCCGGTGGCAGGATGTGTCCATGCACAGGATGGAGATGATCAGCCGCTTCTCAGAGCAGCGCTTTCTGCATGAGGTGGATTACCTGGTGTGTGCAGATGTGGACATGAAGTTCAGTGACCACGTGGGTGTGGAGATTCTCTCAGCACTCTTCGGCACCCTGCATCCTGGCTTCTACAGTAGCAGCCGAGAGGCCTTTACCTATGAGCGCCGGCTGAAGTCCCAGGCCTATATCCCCCGGGATGAGGGTGACTTTTATTATGCAGGTGGCTTCTTTGGGGGGTCAGTGGTGGAGGTGCACCGTCTCACCAAGGCCTGTCATCAGGCTATGGTAGAGGACAAGGCCAATGGCATTAATGCCATGTGCATGATGAGAGCCATCTGAACAAGTACCTTCTATACCACAAGCCAACAAAGGTGCTGTCCCCAGAGTATGTGTGGGACCAGAAGCTGCTGGGCTGGCCCTCCATCATGAAGAAGTTGAGATATGTGGCTGTACCCAAGAACCATCAGGCAATCAGGAATTGATAGATACGTTTCTGTTGGAGAGCACAGGTAGTCAAGGCTGTGTAAATTGGAAGGATTTGAGAGACGTTTCCGAAGTGTCACCCTCTCCCCCACCTCAGATGCCAGCAGACCCAGTACCACCTGTCTTACCACATACTGAGCCCTTGGACTGGCAACCACCTTCAGCTCCCACTGTGTCCTTATGCTCCTTCTACTCAGTCAGATGGTAGCAGGAGCCTCCAGAACATGGGAGAAACTATGTTGTGCAGCTACCTGAGGGCCAGGGCATCCTCACTCTGGTTGTCTCTTCCTCTGCTGGAGGCTTGACAGATGGCCAGTGCCCTTAGGGCTGGGCAGGAGGGCAGGGAGGATCACATCCTGCAGGCCTCAGAGGTGCTTAGCTCCTGTTCAGCCCAGCTGGCAGATTGGCATCCTGTGACCATGGCCTCTGCTCACTTCTGGTTCATTTGGGAATAGTTAGTTATCCATCCTGGAATAAATGTATTTCTGGATGATATGGGAAGTTTAGATTTTTTTCTTTTCTTTTTTTGAGGTACTTGTGATTGAAACCAGGGTCTCATGTATGTTTGTCAGACATGCTGCCACTAGAGATAAATGACTAAACTTGCTGCATTGTTTTTATACTCCAGTTTTCATTTGAAATTTCAAATATAAAGAGACTGCTACTTTTTTTTCAATGTTGGGATCACATCAGTTCCCAGTCTCAAATTTTATATTTTTTTTGGGTGGTGGTGCTGGTGGCTATTGCTGCTTTTCTTTTTTCTCTCTCTCTTTTGTAATTTTAATTGAAGCACTGCTAATCACTTAAGTCTTTTTAAAAGCACCAAAATTTAATATCTAAGTCAATTTGGGGGTGGGGGGAGAAACACTATTAGGAACTTCTCTTCAGAACAAACAATGATGTTCATTCCTCTGCATGTCCAAAAAAAAGTCTGCTGAAACCAAAACTAAAACCCAAACCCCACACAGAGAAGAAAAGATACTAAAATCACATTCTAGGGGGTCAGTGCATTCTGCAGTCTGGGCTGGGCTGTGTCTAATTGTCCTTCGGCTGACTTTCTAAAATTAACACCATAGCTCATCAAAATATACATTTTTCCCATTGGCTTTTTTAAATTAAAAATAATAATTAAAATAAAAACACTTGAAGGAATTCATGACCAGTTGCCTGACTCAGTTGATGGCATATAGGGCATATGGAAGTCAGGGAAACGGCTTGCAACACATCTTTAAGGCTTAGCTTTCTTCCAGACATTGTAAAATACCCACAATTCCAAGTTTGAAGGGACACAGACAATCTCTTTTGAGAATTCCACAGGACAATACAGGCGCCCCAGCTGTTCTTCATAGAGCAACAGGGCTTCAGTCAAATTGGCACAGTTCCCCTGTGTGAAGTATTTCCCATCTTGTTTCAGAATTTTCATTGACAGGTCGAGAATCAGTCTGAGAAACTCCCATGTGGAATCTTCTTCTGGAGATGTAGAAATTGGGACAGCTGTCAAATCATTAATCACATAATCAAACTCTCTCCCTTCTTTGGCGTACCTCTTTGGTACTGGAATACAGTTTTCTATGAGAACCTGATAGCAGTCTCCTTTAAGATTGTCTAAGACATCTCCGCATGTTCTTCGCATGTATTTCTTACATCCATCAGTTACCATTTGGTCAATCTCTACCATGGTGACCATCTTTGGTTTCAGTTTGACGATTTCACATAATATGCCCCCATCTCCACCTCCCAGAATCAGTACATCTTTGCCAGTGTAATCTTCTTTACCACTGTCCTGACTCAGTTCTTTCACTTTTTTCTTCGATTTTGCTCAAAAGACTGTCAGTTTCTTGTTTGCCTTGTACGTCGCTGTCGTAACTCTGAAGGTCCAGCAACACCAATCCATGGGGATAAATCCTCAAATTGGCAAAGCTGCCATTTTTGTTCCTGTAGGTTCCTAAATAGCCATGGTCCTGCCAGGTGTGCACTGACTCTGCCATCGCCTGCTCCTGAAAAATGGACTGAAGGCCTTTCAGAATGGCCTCACCATCAGCTTTGGCGCCGAGAGTGAAGTCGAGCGTGCTGTGTCTTGCTGCTGCCATGGTGTGGCGAGGCCCTGTGCCATGCCTGGGGAGGCGACCGCGGGAGACTGATTATTGAGGTAGAATCTCTAGTAGCTCCAGCTGTTTTCAGCCTCATTGTGTGGCCTTGATCTCCTGATCCATCTTCCTCTACCTCCAGCGGACTGGGAGTATAAGCATGCCACCAACTACCTTTGATGTTCTTAATTTTCTTTCTTTTTTTTTTATTTAAAGAGATTTAGTTTTCATTTACATACCAACCCCAGCTTCCCCTCCCTGCCTTTCTTCAGCTCCCCTCATCCACCCCTTCCCACTCCCAATCCACTCCTCAGGGCTGGGGTAAGTCCTTCCCAGGGAGTCAAGAAACTATGGCATACCAAGTTGAGGCCGGATGAAGCTGCTCCCATCTGTATCAAGGCTGAGCAAGGTATCCCAGCATAAGGAATGGGTTCTAAAAAGCCAGTTCATGTACCTAGGATAGGTCCTGTTCTCACTGCCTGGGGTCCCCCAACAGATCAGGTCAATTAACTGTCACCCACATTCATAGGGGCTGGTTCCGTCCATGCAGGTTCCCCAGTTCTCCGACCATAGTCCTTAAGCTCCCACTAGCTTGGTTCAGCTTTCTCTGTGGTTTTCCCAATCGTGGTCTTGACCACCTTGTTCATGTGATGCCTCCTCCCTCTCCTCAACTGACCTCCAGGAGCTCAGCCCAGGGCTTGGCTGTGGGTCACTGCATCTGCTCCCATCAGTTACTGGATGTAGGTTCTATGATGACAATTAGGATAGTCACTAATCTGATTATAGGGAAGGCTCATTCAGACACCCTCTACACTATTGCTAGGAGTCTCAGCTGGCTGGGTCATCCTTGTGGATTCCTGAGAATTTCTCTAGCACCAGGTTTCTCCCTAACTCCAAAATGGCTCCCTCCATCAAGATATCTCTTTCATTGCTCTCTCCCTCTGCCCTTCCAGTAACTTGTTCTTTTTGGTCCTCCATGTTCTTAATTATCTTAAAACCCCATTGATCTTGTTCCAAATGGTTTCTGGGCTTTGAAGTTCTCTTCGTCCATGGTTGGTTTTCCATTTCTCATATTGTGAGAATTTTTTTTCCTGTGACAGGATCTCTATATATCCCTGGTTGTCCTGGTATTAGCTGTTAGAACAGGATGTCCTGGAACTCAAAGAGATCCACCCACCTCTGCCTGTCACAACACCTGGATAGAATTTTTTTTCTCTATAAAGTTGGATAAACCACCAAATGGCCAATATTCCATAAACCTCCCACATTTTGACACTCTTCCTATGTGCTGTCTGACAAGTCCTGGACACTCCTAAGACTTGACTTCCTATCCCAGCCTTCCCTCTCAGCAATTATGAATTAGCCAATCATATAAATTCTGAGGCCTGGCTCCCACCAATGGGATAAGCCCGAGTCATGACCTATGTTACCACAAAAAAAGAGTGAACTTCCTGCCTGGTGTGCTTGCTCACTCTGTGTGCTGGAGCGCTCTGCTTTGATAGGTTGATTTGAATTCTTTGTGTGTTTGTGAGACACTGAGAATGTTCTCCAACAGCACACAAAGTAGAGCATGGTGTCTTACCTTCCCTTCTGTGGTTGGAAAATTTCCTGAATTCTGTCCACTTCCTAAAGGGTCTCCAAAATGATAAGATACAGGGTGTAGACAGCATACCTTGAGGCCAGGAGAGTCATTTAACCTCAGAGATTGTGGTAGGTAAGAAAGGGAGATGGGGATTTCAGTCAACCCAGAAAATCAAGGAAGCCAATTTTATGGCAGGGAGGTCATACTCTGTGGGGAAGTGAGGAAGGCGTCTAGAGGCCATGGGGGAGTCGTGAAGGAAAGTCACTTTAGGCGTTATCTCTTGATGTTGGGAGATTTGCCTTTTGATGTCTGGTCTCTAATTTCTGTGTGTCTGTCGTTTTCCTGACCCAGGACACCTAAGCACCAGCTGTTTCCTCCCCTTGTAGCATTAGGGAGCCCCTGGGAGGGGTTGGGAGAGGATTGGAGGATTGGGGAGAGAACATGAGCTGTGGGAGAGCAGGTGGTGCCCAGGGAGCCTGTCTCATGTAGTCCTAGTGCAGCACCTGCTAGTACCTGTAGTCTGCAGGAAAAAGTGGCCTGCCAGTATCTGTAGACTGCAGGAACCATGGCCTGTCACTATTTGTAGACTGCAGGAAAACGTGACCTGCCAGTATCTGTAGATTGCAGGAGCCATGGCCTGCCAGTATCTGTAGACTGCAGGAAATGTGCCCTGGCTCAGATCTAAAGCTTCACGAGTAAGAAATTCTGAAGCTCTCAGCGTGCTTTTCTATCGATGTTGGCATATTGTTCATACAAGAACAACCCAGGGGGATGTTTCTCTCTAATTAAAAATGAATCCAGCCTTACTCATGGGAGAGACTTGTGGTCAGCCCTGGCAGGAAACTAGAGCCTGGTGACTAATCCCCCTCCAGCCCCGAGGTTCCTGTTGGCAACCAAGCTGTGGAGGCTTTGGGGACACACAGTAGCCCAATCTTTCAGTTTCTATAGCCAGTGTCCTCGGTCATGATGGTCACTTTGCTCAGCCCTGAGGGCCATGCTGGATGAGTGTTCTCCGGTTTCCTGGTAGATGTTTTTATGCTGTTTTTTTGTAAAGTGATGAGCAGTTAGTCTGTGTGCCACTCGGATGCCAGTGCTCAAAATGGTTTTGAACTTGTGTCTCTATCTGGAGCCTTCTTTTCTTGGGGCATTTCTCATGGGCTGTTTGGGATTTCACAGAAGGAAGGTGAAACTCTCAGGGCCATTTGTTGTTGTCCTGCTGTATGGTTTCTGGAACAAGACAGTGGAATGGACAAGGGATCTTGGGTAGGTCTCTGCTCATGGTGTCTGTGGGCACTGGGTAGGTGCTCAGCCTCTGTTCTTTACTGGTGGGTCCAGGCAGGAGCTTCACCCAAGGGCAGGGCTGCCAATCTTGGCTGTCATGTCTTGGATCTTACTTTTTTGCTGGGTTTTCTTGTTTTACTATGAGACCCCCTGAGCCCAGGATATTGTTCTGGGCTCTGCTTTGCCTTTACACAAAATCTGACTCCATGGTACCATGTGCTGTGGGCCAACTCTGGTCCTATCCCATCAGGATGCCTGTGTCTATCCTCTCAGGCTCTGAAGATCCCTGTCCCTGTTAGGTTCCTGTCCTTCAACCCTCCCATCCACTGTTCTGGATCCTTTCCTTTGTCCCCAGTTCAGGACAAGACACTTCCTCATGCTCCAGCATTCATTGATGACTTCCCTCTGCCACCACCTACAAACAGCTCACCAATCCTGCCAGCTTGGCCCACCCTAGCTCCACTCTTCCAGCATGTTCTGTCAGTGTCATGTTTCCCTGGATGGTTGACTGTAGCTTCCTGGCTGTACTGTGTTTTCCCTGGCCCCACAGGACATCCTTTCCCCAGTGGCCAGAGTTATTCCTTGAGTTGCTCCTCTGCTGTATCCCTAAAAACCGTCACAGCCTCTGGGGGCTTCTCCGTGTCCTCTTCAACACCTCTCTGTCTTCATT